TATATTCAATGTAGCGGCCCACCATGACTTGAAAAAGTCAGGCCTGAGGAAAACTGTGCTCAATGGTCACTACCATATAGCTTTTTTGAGAGGGGTTTGCACTAATCTACCCTTGTGGTAGGTTCCCATCAGCATGTTTACCCAAGATGTGCTATGTACTTTAAAGTTATGCTCAGTATTGGCTGCATTTAATCAACTTCATAGTTGATTTCTATTACTGAGCACGTGCTGCTTTTGGCTGCTTGTCAAAGATCGACAATGTATTTAATGAAGGTTTCTTGTATGTGAATGTAAGACAAGGGGCTTTTTCCCCATGCTGAATGTGGGGAGGGGGGGGAGGGACCTTCTCTTGTTTTTGAGTAAATATGGTACTTAATGTTTATAAGGCATTTCTACCAAGTTAAAATATATTGGCTGTGTCTACACATGCAAATGCGGTGGGGTGGGTTTACTCTAGAGTAAATTTCTCTCTTTCCACAGTAGCCAGCAGGAAAAAGAGAACAGTAATTTACTTTACAGTAAACTAGCCCCCGACAGGCATTTATACATGCAGGAATTTGGAAGCAGATTTGCTGCTCCTGGCACCAGTCTGCTCACACCCACTCTAGCTCTGCACAGCCCCACTTCAGCAGCCAGGAGGAGCAATAGGCTCTCCCTGGGTGCTAGCTCAGGGGCTGGCAAGGAACACAAGACCATGAGACAGCTGTCTCCTGGCAGGGGGCTGGGTGATTGCTCCCTGCCCCAGGAGCTGCCTGCTGCTGGGGTGGGCTTCGTTGGCAGAACCTGGGCGGGGACAATGTCTCCTTGCCCCAGCAGCAGGTAGCTCCCAGCCCCAGCTCCCCAGTTGTGGGCAGGGACCTTGGAAAGAGCTGCAGAGGAGGAGCAGGTCCCAACCCTCTGCCCCGATCCACTGGTGGGGCAGCTAGCAGTGAGCCCCCAGCTGGCCATAGAGTACAACATATTGCAGTTTCTTGTTTTCTTCTGCTCTCCAATATCTTGGGCTGCTCCAGTAACTGAACAACTCCCTATTCTGCTGTTCCTATACCTCCCATTGTCCAGCAGGGAAGCAAACAATGAAAGGTCAACAGCAATTCCATATTTACTCTGCTGTGCTGCCCAGTAGCCAATAGGAAAGAGAGAACAGTTGTTGTGAATGTTCCTGATTCACACCAAAACAGCAACAGGAGAGACTGTGGGGAGCAACTGAGAAGATGGTGGCAGCAGAGGGTCTACTATCAGGGAAGATGTTCTCAAAATACTAATCAAAAGCAAGCTTTATTCTTGACACAATATTCAGCAACCGCAATCTGAGCCTTCAGGACTCATTTCAACTGTAGTAATCTACAATGTAAAAGTAAACAGTTCAGCTGTCTCCCTGTTCTCCAGAACCATTGAACAGAGATGGTCTTTTCTATCTGTTGCTTGTTGTTTTGCAGAAGTGACATTTTAAGTGTCACAGAACAGATACGATTAAGAGTGGCTCAGTATCAAATTTATTTGGACTGTATATTTTGTTTGTTCAACTAATTTTGGTTTAGTTTATGGCAAGCTAAACTCTAAGTTTGCTTCTACTTTGGATTTCTCTTCATTAACACAGATCAGAGAGAATCCCTGTGAAGTCAATGGCATTACACTGGCAAAAGCTTAAGATACCTGAAATCAGATTCAGATCTCCTCATTGTTCAAAGCCACTTCCCAAGTGGCTAGTGGGTCCTTCCAAAACATCACATTTGTGCTCCATCTCCCACTACAGAATTGTCTGCTTTTCATTGCTGAAACTCAAAATGAACCCAATACATATACCCCAGATAAAATTTTGGGCATTGCTGTCAAATGGATAGTAAAAAATTAAATGTAGAGATGGATCAAAAAATAATTCACTAGAGGCAAAGACAAGTGAACAAAGGTACCTGTGGGTACCTTTGCTTTTTCAGGTGCGAGTTAGAAGCAGCTATTAGGTGAAAGGATAACTGGATATCTTTGGTCATGATAAAATAGATACGAAATTCAAATGGCACAGAAAACAAGAGAAAATGGCTTGGAACTAAAAAAAAAAAAATGATGTGTTCACAAGACCAGAAAAAAATCTTTATAAACTATAATTCTGTATCTTCTATAGTTCTACTAAATGCTATTCTATAGTGGAAGGTCACCTTATATAACCTACTTCTAACACTGCCCTTTCTTTCTTTTACCACAAAGAAAACTAACTTATGTTTTTAGATGTCAAAAAAAATTGCTTTAGAAATTATCGAGTGGATGTCATTTAAAAATAAGTTAAATTGACAGGTTTTTTATGCTTACTTGCAATTAGAAACAGAAACTTGTTTTCCCCTTCCTACACAACCTAGAGTTTATAGAGAAAACTTTACTATTATCACAGTAGCTTGATTACAAATGGCAATTACCAATTTTGAAGTACACTAGAAAGACATGACCTGATTACGGGCATAGTGATTAAGATGTAGATATAGACTGAGATTAGAATGCACTGATATGACCGAAAATAAAATTAAAGTCACCTTTGGAAGAGCCAGAGACTTACAAAAGGTCTTATACTTTGCAAAGACTTGAGTTCAACTTGAAAAGACTGCAGCCAAATTTTATTTGCATTTCAAAACATCTAGGCCTAGATCCTCCAAGGTATTTAGGTGCCTTATTCCCATCAGTTTTGATAGGAACTGAGTGCCTAAATTCCTTAAAGGATCCTAACCTTCTAGACTAATAATCCTGCCAAACTCACTGAATTTGAGACTATTTATGCGAAGCGTTTACAAAAATTCAGTCTAGGTCACAACTAGCAAATGAGATTTTAAAGAGCATTCTGCTTCCTCCAGTCCAGATTTACAAAAATCTTGTATGTGATATCTTCCAGAGGTGTACAAGAAAGCTCAGTGGGCATTGAGAAATGAACTACAGTTGAAGACTGTCTCCCACGTCTATGAAGAGCAGTCCTTTTTCCATAGAGTGAGACTACAAGCACCCTGCACAAAGAACAGCTCTTTCTGTCAAAAATGATACTGAGCCGCGTTCCTAGCTTTCTCCCAGCCTTCAGAAACCTAAAGCAGCTTTCTTATAGTCCAAAATATGAAAGCCTCTTTTGCACCCTTACCAGTAAAGTCTTGACAACTTCAAAGACCAGTTTTCATTTTATTTTCCCCTTGATCCAAGGATATGTAGCGCTTTTTTTCTTGCATTTTATAAAAACGGCTCTTTCACTCACCAGGCTTGGAGAAGAAATAACTATCTCAATCACTCTACGTTCTTCATTTGACTCATAATCTGATTTTCCTTTGTCCTTCGGGTAGAAAGCTTCACTGCTCAAACACATTGCAGAGTTCACCCCTGCAAACTCTTCCTTCAGCCGCACTTTGGAGAAAGAAAGACAGAAAGAAAGATTGACTGATTCATGTTTTTAAGATTCTTCAAAGCCATATTTGGTTCTTAAACATTCGCCCGACCACAGCATAACATTTTGCTTAAGTTTTCAGGTCCAGCCGGTAATTTTGAACACAACCACAACTTCATAGTAATGGTCTCTTTCTACCTCCAAACGCTCCATTTGGAGACAGGAGTGGAAAATATGCCCTCGGGAAAATATTATGACAACACCTGACAGCACCACCTATAGCTCTGCTACCAGGACAGTAATGGGATTCAACACAGCTGCCAAGGACTCCAGTTTTCTCCAACATTAGCAGCGTTGGAGTGGGGTAAATGAACCTCCTTCTAGTTATTTGCTGTCTTAGGTGAACAAGACCAGTCCCTCTTACCAGTCTGAGCTGTGAAGTATATTTAGTAAGCCATTTTAGAAAGTTTTCGAGTCAAAATCCTGTCATTTTTACTTTATGCAAGTGCTTTAATTACTATTAATACAAAGACTATTATAATGAGTAAGGATTATAGAAAGAGACACATGTATAGTAAAACTCACTTATAAAAGCACACCAAGGCCCAGTCCGATTTCTTTTTTTTTTAATAGATTAGACCTGGAACATGACCACCTGAACAGCGTCCAGATTGAGGGCTGATAATTCATCTAACTTCTATTTAGGCAGACTTCACAGGGTTGCAAGGTTATAAATGAGATGAGACTTTAGTCTATTTAAACATTTTCCAACTTTCTAGACCCATCTGACATGAAGAGGGGAAAAGCTCCACGCTCGAACGTTTATGTGAACATTAAAGGAATGCTGAGTATCCAACACCACCCCCCAAAAAGAAAGAAAGATAGACAGAAAGACAAAAAGACAGAAAGAGACAGGCAGACTTCAAATGAAACAAAATGACGAGAAAGAATTCTGCTCTGGAGAAACAAAGATAGGAATAATGAATAAATCCGAAAAAAAATCCCCCCAAAACCCAGAGCCTTTGTAAAAATAAATGTTTAAAAATACATTCCAACTCAAGTTCAGCCGGTCTCTTCTTTCTTGTGCAAAATACCTGTTCCCTCCTGCCCCATTTTTTTTTCTCCTGTTCTCGCCTGTGCTTGCTGTCTCTGCCTGCTCCCTTTTATTTCTTATATTTCTCATCTGTATTCCTGGACTACCTCAGCACTTCTTTGCTCTTTACTAAGCTTTTTCTCTGGGTTTTTTCCCCCCTCCATTCTTAGTTTTTTCCTGTCCTCCCCCACCCCCGCTTCTCCCGTCCATCCTTCTCCACCGCTGCACCCGGCCCGGCCTGCCCTCCCCCATCTCCTGTGTTCCCAGCGCCTCGTCCCTTTAGTCTCCCTCCCAGCTTTATTCCCCAGCTTTTAATCAGTCTCCCCTATCCTGACAAGCGGTCTCTCCTCGCCGACACAAAACTTGCTGAAGCGGCTCTTTCTGTGGCCCAGGGGCAGGGCCAAAGGGGACCAGGCAGGGTGGGCGAGTCAGGCTCAGCAAAGGCGTCCTTCCTCATCCCCTGCAAGAGCCCTTCTGAAGTAGCGAATGAGCCCCCCCGCCAGAAACAGATCAAGAGAAACCCAACCAAATCCTGGTCCTGCCACTGAAGAGACAAAAATGAGCCTAGATGCCTTGTTTCAACAAATCCTCCTCACAGAGCAGCAGGCCAAGGAGAAGCGGCGCCTCATGCACCAAGGTCAGTCAGCATGGCTACGGTCAAGACTGCATGGATCTCCGCTTCCTTAGGGACCCTTGAAGGCTTCCCTTGAGGTCTTTAGACCATTTTATGACAGGGGGGATGTTTTTGATAGTGTCATTTGCTGGGTGCCAAGTGGGCCGTTCCTAAGGATTTTGTAGAGTTGCACATTTAAAGGCCAGAAAAGACCACCTAAGCATGACCTCCTATATAATACAGGCCCATAGCGTTGTGCTGTCATTTCTCTTCCGAACCCAATACCTCATTTTTAATGGAGGCAGTGAGCCTCAACCAGGGTGTGGTGGCACCCTGGGGTGCCACGAGATCCATTCAAGGGTGCCACAGGGTGCACACACCTACACGCGACTCGCAAAATAAATGCTGAGATTTCAACCAGGAATCTCTAGCATCAAAAACATCCTAACCTCTCTTGGGATTTCTCTGAATGCTTTGCAACAAAAGAATTGTTCTATTATTTTTCAGTCAAGAAACAAGTGAAAGCTAAGAACTGACATTTTTTGAGGGATGCCTTGAGTCTCACAAGGGATGCTTTGAGTCTAAAAAAAAGGCTGCGAACCACTAAATGAAGGCATGTATTCTAGAAAGGTGTCCAGTCTTGATTTTTACCTATGCAACTTTAAGGGTTTTGGAGGACCTCCTCAAGGATCGTGTCACTGGGCTGCTCTCAGTTTGCTTCCTGACCGGGCCTTAAGTTTTGGCTGTACCTTGCGTTAATAGCAATTAGCCTGCAAATACTGGCCTAAAAACCCCAACTTCATCAGCAGGTAAGGAGAGGTAGGAGTGGGGGCAAGCAGTAACAGAGTTACCACTGAACTGCATACTCAAACTCATTCGTGTTATGGTATAATAGGAATTGGGCACTCTTTGTTCACAAACTTAAGATTTATGTCCATAATTTTGAAAAACTTCTTCTCTACATCTCTTTACCACACCAGAATATGTATTTCTACCTCTAGTAACTAAGGATAATAGTGTGACACCATCTTTCATAGGAAAAACTTTGTAATTACCAAGCTGGCATTTACAGAGCTGTACGAAAGTTGTTCTTTGACACCACTCCATTTTGCACACCAGAATCCCTCTTCTATTATTATGTGTATTTCAAGATTTATTTTGCATTGCAGTTAAACTGGAAGTAAACAGGAATCGTGAAAAAGTTATGGAAATAAAAGAAGAGTTGCGTGAAGCAAAAATACAATTAGAAACTAAGGTACAGTAATAATGTTCATTGTATTTAGTATATTAATTGCTGCTTTTGGGATAGCATCCTAATGAAATGATTCATGAACATTTTGAAGCAGCGTACTTCATACTAGTGTACAGACTAATTACTGCAATATTTGTTTAATGAATGTCTTTGTATGCTTAGCATCTTTTTATCTGAGCTCTTTACAAGCTCAAAGATGCATCGTTCAATTCTCTAACCAAGAAGGATCACCAGTCAGGCTGCTGCCTGAACTTGCTTCAGCAGCTCTTGCCTTTGGGGGCAGGGGTCCCAGGAGGGATCTGCAATTTGGAATATGCCCATAGAGTTCAGTAAGAAGCATGAAATGCATACGCATGGGAACATCAGTGGCCACTTCTCAGTCGCATCTCATTTTTCCACTCACAAATACCTTTATCCTATGCACACAGAAATAAACCTAAAGACTCCTAGTGCTAACTTGAATGAGCCTTTGATCATACCATAAGCTTTCCCATCTCATCCCCGTGTCAACAGTTCGACTTTGCTGCGTGCTATATCACCTGTACTTGCACTCACCTTTCAGGTTTGCTCTGTAAAGAGCATTGCTTATCAGTGCAATTTCCTTATTCTCAAGTTTTATTAATTTTTCCATATAGCAAGTGTGAAGCCTTACTTTGAGACAAATCCTTCAATTTTGTACTCTCAGCTTTCCTAGTACAAATAATTGCAAGTGTAAATGATTCAGACCCACCTGTTTCTCCATGCACATAATGTCTAAATGGCAAAAACTGTGCTCTTGAATATATTCAGCCACAAAATGTAGGTGAATAAAGGAGGACTGACCAAGTCTCCCTTTAAAGTCAGACTTGTCAGATCCCTAGGGCATTACAACATTACAGAAACACTTTAAAGATAAATCTTGCAACCTTCTGGATTACATTTAGTCCTTTAATGTTTTACTACCAGACTCCTAATTTTATCAATAGTTACTATGTTATTTGTTTAGTTGATTAAATCAATTAAACAGGTATTCTAAGGGTAATTTGCATCCCTCCAAGCAAACTGGGCTCCTATGATTTCTTAACAAACATATGCACTATATAAAAAGCATTGAAACATCATTGTGATGAAAAGATAGAAAGATGTGTTAGAGTAAAAGAGAATCTACAAAATTGTTTGGGTGTATTAATAAAGCAGAAACCTGATGCTGCTAACCAGTATGGGTTCATGCAACTTCATGCACATCGAGAGTCCCACTGAAGTCAGCAAAAATACGCTATATGAAGAATCAGGGCCCAGTGTAGATCAACAACAGGAACCAGTCTGGAGTCAACTCAAAGAAGGAATGGGTGATATTTGTTAGGTAAATTCCTATGTGGCCCTGCTCATTAAACTAATGTATGAAAACTACAATTTTATTTGTATACCACTGACTTAGTATTAACTCATTGTGATTTATAACAGGTTTGTGTGGTAGGTATAGGGAGCCCCAAGAGGAGAATCATTACGGTACATGACTAATGGGAAAAGCTAGAGAAGCATTCCTAATCAAATCTTTTATCTTTTATCCACCAGATTTAATTATATTCTTACCAGTATCCACAAAAATATATTACAATTCCAGTTTAGTTTGACATTGATTCATTTATCAAAAGGAAATGATACGAAGAATAAGGAAAATGTGAAAATTCATTATTTCAGTCAGATCACACTTAGATTTAAAGATTATATATTGACTACCAAGAGTATTTGTACTGTAATTTATTTTTCAAAATTAAAATGAAATTTATTCTACAAAGCTCAAAATGTACCAACTGTAATTAATATAATCCAAGTACTACTATGTAATACTGTAAAAATACTCCTCCAGATTTCTCCATATCTCCTTTTTAATCTCACACACACTGGGTTAAAGCCTGAGTATATGAGCATTAGAGTTCAAAAGTGTTTTGACATCTATTTCACAGAGACTGCTTGTGGTCAGTCGAATGCTCCCAGGAAATATTAATTTTTTTCTGTTCAGTTAGAAAACCAACTAGCATGTAATTAGAACTTGAATTATAGCTTTTTCCCTTTCATGGCTCAATGTTTTTCTTTAAAAATTCTATTGCTAAGGCATAGATTACTTAGGTATTTTGGGGACAGGTGTACCACAGTTCGGCTGGTTATGCTCTGTAGAATAAATGCAGAAGCACACATTCACTAACCTGCTTTAAATTATGTAACAAATACATGATCCTTGAGCAGTGAGCTGCCTAATGCTTACCTTGTCAAACATACATCCCAACCCCTCTCACTTTGCCCTAGCTTAATCTCTTTTGAATCTCCTCCCATCATGTCCCATTTGGCATGTCATCTTGCCTGTGCTCCTTTTCAACTTGCCTCTTTTGTTTCCACATCTTGTTTATTCTTCTTTTATAATATCACTAATTTCTAGCCTTGCCTTTCTCACCATACCACTTAAAACTCTCTGTTTCCCACCTTGACTACTGCCATCCCATCTTCTCCTGAGTTTCCTAACACCTATTCTACTCCTTTCATGCTTGGTCAAAACACTGCTGCCAAGATCACTTTCCTTATTTATATACATTTTTTATCATTACACTCTCTCTTCAAATCCCTCCACTCCACTGGCTCCATCTCACCACCTCCATATCAAACACGAGTTTATTGACGGCCCTTAAAAAAATCACCTGTACCTAACTTACGTGCTGATGTTTCTTATTGCATCATCTACCTTAAACCAGCCTACCAATCTGGCTGTGCTGAATAGCCTGGAATAATTCTTCGAGTAGACATGGAAATGGGTTGAACAGCCTACCCTCCTTTGAGATGGAATTTGTAAATAATAGCCAATCTATAAATAAAAATGTATGCAGAAGGAAGCTTTGGATGGGGTTGTATGGCAGACTGTCTTCTGCCCATACACTGATCCTCCATTCCTCTTCCCCAGCTGATGGTTATCACCGTCATACTGGGAAAAATATTTATGAGAACATCAAGTCTCTTCTTCACTCCTCTATGCTAGGAGTGAGGCTACAAAGTAATAGCTG